AGATACCAACTCAGATTCAAATGGAAAAGGCTGCATTCCAAAATCTAGTCGTACATCATCGAAAAAATTCAAAAACTTCACCCAAATTACTTGAATTTTGCCATTATGTACGGTAGAATGGTCAATCATGGCTCCGCATGGTCATTTTTGCTAAAATTCGTAGCGAATGTGGAATTCCGTGCTTAAGTAAACATTTATTTGATTTATTTTAACAGTATTTGGTTTCTCCAAGCATGCTTATCAAAATTTGTCCCATTCTGGGAAAAAAAGAAGGACAACTTTCCTTTTGAATTTAATAAGGCGATTTGCTTTCTGTGGCGTTCTAAACAGCCGTCTGTGTTTTTTAAGTGCATACACCATAAAAAAACCGCATAGCCACATTTACATTAGAATTTTACCCTAAATTATTTAACTTCCGCTCTTTCATATGTTTTATGAACATATTAAAAAATGCAGATGCCTATCCGCCAAGTATTTGATGTATCCCTCCTTAGTATCTCAAAGACCACTGGAGTTTGAAAAACTTACTCCTTGAAGTTATAGACGCCAGCATAGTGTCACCATTTGCAGACACAGTAGCCGTGTCTGTGAAAGAGGTAGTAAGCACCTCAGGAGTCATTGGTGTGGTCTGTGACACAGCCACCAAGCTCGCAACTAAATCGCATGGCATTGTCTGACAGGCCGCTTCCTTGGCCCCCACAGATGGCCACGGATAGGATCCACCGCTAGACGACTGAGAGGAGAGTTCGCTATCGTCGCGAAGAACACTTTCATAGCCACTGCTCGCATGTCCACCTCCACTAGCACATGTGTACTTAAGTGCCGTCAGTGCTCCTCCTTCATTCCCCCCCTCTGGGGAGGCAGGCACCCCGGTCCGAGTTCGGTGGGTGCGCACCCGGCACCTACGTATTCGGCCTGCACTCTGCGCCGCCAAACAGTGACATCTCAGGGATTGCTGCTCGCTGTGTTCACTTCCAAGGCCACTGCTGGAGCTCTGGGAGACACATTTATGATGGCAGTGGGTGTGTGGCGAATTTTCAAGAACTACCTGACAGTGGAAGGCCATGCTATCTTGTTGCTGTTGCTGTCGACTGGGATAAAAACGTTGAAGCGCAGGGACAGGGGCAGTTTGCGGAGTAGAGGAAGAGAGAGCCTCAGAGAGAACGGTACGGTTGGGACTGCATTTACTAAAGAGCGGACTTTGGAGAAAACCGAGTCGACGTTTAGTTCCAGCCTCCTATTAAAAGTAAGATTCACGTTTCGGCCGGTCAGGACGGCATAATAAAGTCAAAGAAATGCTGGAAATGATCAGGTTGAAACTTGTCCAATAGTAATATGAAGAGCACCAAACTTTTCATCTCTGATTATAAGCAAGAAGTCAATTAACCCGTGTACAAAAGGATTATGGAACCGCAAACAATCCATTGACACTGCCAAGACGAGTACTGTATCAAATCTGCATTTAAACAACGAAACTCCCCTCTCCTACAATGGATTTGTGATGCCTAACGTAAAGGCGCAGATAATTTAATGTCCTAAATAACCAAACTTCCTCCACCGAACTAGTAAAGTCATCTTAATCAGTTGTTTTGCTCTTGACACCTACGAATTCATCCATATTTTTCAATTAGCTCCTTGAAATCAACGCATAATGCAGAGATACTAAGCCTTTTAAAACGGAATAGAAATCGGACTTCTCTATCTAGCACGGGGCTCATCTGGGTTGGGCTGATAACTTCCGTGGATTCACTAAATCGTAATAAAGCACAGCAAATAAATTTCCCTATCACTACCATGCTAGGACGAAAACAGTAACAATTTACTGTCACGCCTTTTTGACAGAAAGCCTACATCACATTAGTCACTGTACGGGTTACACAGCAAGGGTTATGGCGATGCGATATTTACACTGTCTTTAATAAGGAACTTTGGTTTTTTACAACTGTAGGTACTGCGCATTATTACAGTTTTGTAATTTCGGTTCCATTTAGAAAAGTACTGTGCATAATGATGCTGTAAATTCTGGTAATTTTAATGAGAAAATAAAGTTGAAATTCTCAAATAAGCTGTGAGGGACATTTAACCGTATTTTACAAAGACATGACTTTAAAAAATAACTCTTGTACGTCTTTCAAGCAGTCTCTCCTATGCATGAAAGCGTGTAAATAATGTGCTCTCCGAGACTCATTCCACATTTGCTATTTCATGGCTTGAGCGGTGAGGACAATACAAGTCCCACCAGCACCACCGATGACCCAAATCCTGTACACTCGACTCATCCCATCTCTCGGCACAAACACTCTTAGCAATAACAAAACAAGCGTCAACATCATAAAAAAATTGTAGACAAGGTTGTTTTGCACCGACGTCGACCACTTTGGGAAAATGACGACACCGACAGGGTCTACTCATCTGCTAGTCACTTTTGGCGACATTTCGACCGCACCAGTGCTTGCTCGCACTACTGTGAACTCGCTAAGTGACAAAAATACTGTTTTTCATGACTTTGCTCAAGTTTATTAATTAAGCCTTTACGCAAAATACCAAACTTAAAATCCAACCCTAATTTTGTTACTTTGAGTTTTATAACCTAGCACTATTAAGCTAAGAATAACTAAATCTATATTAATTTCATTCAACTTTTAGATTTTGATCTATGTAGCAGAGTCCGGGCAATCAAATCTACATCTGAAAATAAATAGGCAGACGGTACCAGTTTATGGATTAGGTAAATATGGATTCTTGCACTTGTACTCAAGTTGTATACAACCATAGCCAGATAGGCAAATAAACAAGGAGTAAGTACCTTGATTCGAAGGCGGCTCTGCTGGCCTTCTTCATAGTGCTTTTCAGTTCCCTGCTGGCTTCCACCACTTGCTATCCGACCGGTCTGTTCTGATTCAAGAAATGAACTCTCCTCGCCTCCTCTTCCTTTGCTCTGTGATGTAAAGAGCATTCCCGCTGAATCGATGGATAAGAGGTCTCCTTCTGCGGCCAATTCCCTCTCACTTCCACCACTGGACCCTACACCTCCGAAAAAAAGTGTACACATCTTGCTCACCGACGCCGATTGCTGTTGCTGACGGCGCCGGTTAGTACCGGGTGAGCAGACGAAAAGATCTGCGAAACGCTTGAGCACTGGTTTGCGTAGTGGAGAGGCTTTTAAGCCCTCTGTTATTGTGTCCAGACCACTTACAGAGCCAAAAGACCGATCTCTGTGTAGTCCCGGGTCCGACGCTCCGTCGGGTTTTCGTGAATCTGAGGGTGGATTGGTGATTGACTGGGGCTGATTCTCCTCAATCGCTTGATACACCATAGTCCCGTGGTGGGCTCTGAATCGCGCAGCAGGAGCGGAACTACCTCGACCGGTGATTTCAGGTGACTTTGGTGCAGAGGAGTAGGTGACACCCTTGCTACAGCTTTTACAAAGTGGGGAACACTGAAGAGGATGTTTGGAGCAGCCCTTGGAGAGGGCTGGAGGGGTGTGTTCGGAGGTTGAAACCGATTCGACCCAACGTGCCACACGGCTCAAATTGTCAACTGCCGGATTGACCTGATGATTTTGGGTGGTCCACAGTATCTCCGTTGTCACGTGCCGTGGCAGACTGTGGGAATGGGATACAGAATCATTCGGTGTAATCATGGAATCATCCATATCCACCTGCTTTTTTCCCTCGTGACTTCTACAATTCAAATATATGTGTGCAGCAAACTCGCTGTGAATGAAAGTGTTCATTTAAGTCGTTAAACCACGATAAATGCTACAGGTGTATTAATAATTACAGGTTTTTACCTAGTTATTAGAAAAAGCAGTTAAACTTAATTTTTCAGACCCTTGGTTAGCGGATAATCTTTCCTAAACTGTTATAAAGGATCCACAACAGTCCAATTAACCGTGGCTTAAAGTAGGAACGCAGGTGATAAAACAGGTAGCCAAGATAAATTTTCTTTTGCAAAGCATCATGCTAATCTCATAGGGCTTAAGTGGAAATTAAACACTCCAAGGTGAAAAGGTAAAGCCTCACCTGTACTTTCGGAAAATTTGCGGTGTTTCAGCGGTTTTAATAGCCACGTGGCAGTGAGCGTCCGTCTTTCCACTTGCGTGGACCTGCTTGCGTCCATGCTTCGGCGATGTGGGCTACAATTTAGCAACACAAATACAGCTTTTATCTCCATAAATAGCTGCACTCGATCACCTCAACATTATCCAGCAAAATCACTTCATTCTGTATATGAGCCTATGTAAAAATAGCGAACAATACTCGAGAAAAACTAGCAAATTTCCGGGAGTTTTAGGTCCCGAAATAGCAGAATAGCTAAGTGTAATTAGGAGTTATTTAAGTACTAAAATATTAATCGCCTCCTTAAGATTTGAAGTCTTTCAAAAATACCAAGTGCTAGAAAGAAATTTGGGGACGTTTTGTAGTAGTCCTTCAAGAAAGTGGTTGTCTAGGTAGAATAGTAAATTTGCTGGGTTCAATCATACACTAGGCAAAGTTAAGGCCTAAATCAGTCTTATCTGCCATCAACTTTCTACGAAGTATGTTTAAAGCTTCCCCTCTAAAATAAAAGTTATTTTCACCTTGGTTTGCCATTTTCATATTAAAATTTTGCTACTTCTGCACTTCGCCTCTATCTCTGAGGCTGATCCGTTCGTCATCACTTTCCAGGAACAAATCAGACATTTTCAGAAAATCAGACATCCATAGGTAATTTGTCAAAGACCTCTGTATCCTACTTTTGACATCACGATGGGGCTATCTTTAATCTCCGAACCGCGCACTGTCCTGTCTTAGCCGTGTCCCGCACTGACCTTATGGAAAAGCAGGTCGGCACGCGAGTGAGTGACAGGGCGGGCCACGCTTACACCCACCTTAGATTCCCTTCTCCCTGCCTTCGCGGCCAAAACGGTCCCACCATGCACCCCTCCCCCCCCCCGATCCGCTAATTGATAGGCATCTGAAACTAGCTAAGTTATACGCATGTACGACGACTAATGCGCCATGCAGACTGCGTTTGTCGGCCGAAGATAAGCGGAGAACAAGAGGCTGCTACGGTAAAGAACTGCAATGCACTAATAGGATTTTCTTCGCACAAGATTTATACCAGTTATAAGTAAAAATAAATTGCAAATTGCTATTTTGAGTGGTTAAAACAGACCAATGATGAGCTAAAGATGCTGAAAGTAGAGGTTTTCCTGCGAAAATTAGTCTAATTAAACTTTCCATTTTGAGTGAAATGCGCGAAAGTATTAGTTCAATTGACCACAGAGTAGAATCAGTAACAAATTAGCAAGCATCCTACTTTTTCATGAATACTTTGGATCTAAAGAATTTCTCAAGCGCTACAGCCAAGTACATGAACTTATGCATGCAAGTGAATAATGAGGGCGAATTTCAATGTCTTCCACTAATACCGGTAAAGCTTCAAACCCGCTCTGAAAGTGGGTAACTTTTGCTAGGATTATTTTGCTCTAATAGGGACCTCAACCTAGCCTGGCTTTGCTATTTTAAAGAAAAGTACATCCTAGAGATTATACATTAAGCCTTCTAGAGAATCTACTGTTAGTGCCAAGTTGATCTTAGGTCGAGTGGACTTTTATGAACGATGATTTCTTAAGTAGTCGATTTAGATTAGCTTTGGAATAGGCTCTCAGAGATGTATCAAAATAAGACTTGCAGTACCTGAGGCAATATTGTAAAAAAATCGCCAGTTTTCAACCGTTTTGCAATTTTTTCAGATAAAGAAAAGTGCATCTGGAGGCCTCCCAAATGATCAATTATAGCTTTGTTGATTAGCCGAATATTCTGCTGTCCAGGAGTCAGCACATGGTTATTACAAACACCTCATATACATAACTGCTTAAACATTCATTTCAATGGCTTTAGATATCCATAGGGGATGTGCACACAAAACCCAGTTCAGATGAGAGCACAAAGTGACCTTTAACTTTAAATTATTGCTGGTGCAAGAAAAATCTCTTTCCCACATTTTTACAACTATGTAACCCAATCCTGTTCGTTTGAACTGTATATCGTACTACACGGTTTTTTATAGTCTCCGGCTGCTGGAAAATAGCTCTGCTCAGGCTATTTATAATACCAATCTCCAGATCTTTCGGCCCGATCACGGTTATGGTAATTTTAGATTTGTACACCCTATAATATCGCCAGGAGCAAATTCGAGTCCCACTACTATAAAAAAGTACAAAAAACTTGGTTTTAAAATGCTACTGCAAGGGAATCCATCAAAATTTACACACAATTTTATTTACTTGAAACCTCACCTGGCCAGCGAAGTACCCAACAATGGCCTGATTCTGGCGTTCGACCCACTCTTTCACGAAGGGCTTTACACTGCGCATTGCGCCGCTGCCTCCAGCCGGAAAAGAGTCGTACTTCCAGTTCGTCACAACGAGAACTTCGGTGGAGGTTTGCTGCATCTGATCATTTTGCTTTTGCTGTCTTGCCTCAAGATAGGAGTCCCCTACAAGATAATTGCTGTATTAAAAGAGCTTCTACATCATGCACGGAAAACAGAATATTAACCTGATTATGCGACTAAATCCTATTTAAGAATAATTAAAAATCAAATCTTGTCTGCGGTGCTATGTCTACTGCAGTTCTTACACGATGGCAAATGAAACACGTCTTGTGATCTATAAACGGTGAGAAAGTGCGGAAGGACAAGCCTAAATCTTGCATGAAAATAAAAAAATTTTGACAGTGTCTAACTGGCGCAACTTCAGCCGTTTCATCCGTTTTTTTAACAGGTGTTTTATCATTGATAGAATTCACTTTTAAACAGACACTGAAACAAACGAGTGAATTTATTGAATCCAGCCCAAAAACTTTCTCCTAAGCAAAGAAGTAGCTAAGTACGTTGTTTGTCACGCATTTCTAATGAATTAAGAATGCCGAGCTTACTTCGTGTATAAAGATACAATTTCTTTTAAAATGCTTTACACCAACGGCCGCTTTTAAATAATCTGCAACAACAGTCGGTAGAGTCTACCATAGTTCTGAAAACCATAAATACGGCTTCTACTCAGCAGGGACCCAATGGTCTAAGCGGGTAGGCTTACTGTATTGGGAAACCTTACTCAAGTGCAGAATCACCCAGTAGATACTTATGGAGTACAAAGATGCATATAAAACTTTTCACTATAAATGAACTGTAGCTGAGTATACAATACTTTAATTGTATGTTTAAGTCTCAGATTTGGACTCTAGGTGGCCTGGTCTTCGGACCTTCTGAGCAGAGAATTACATATTCTACTCAAATATTATTTCTTCTCTCTTTTCTTTAGAGAAGCCTTGGGGCGCTATAAATCGTACTCAGCTGAAACTTCTACAAATTTTCACTACTTTTTTGAACGTGGAGGTAACCATGAAACGCATGCATTAATTCAGAATGACTGAATCTGTGGGATACTGTTTAGTTGCAGAACATCAAACGATGTAATAAGGTAGGACCAAATGGAGGTAGTTGAAGGAAAAGGGCTGATTCTGTTTGAATTCTGAGCATGTACAAAAAAAGGTTACCTTCATTGAATATTTCACTTCCACGCTTCATTTTTTTTTCGTCAGGAGAGCATATGGAGGCGAGATAAGCTTAATGAATGCAAATTAACCCAAGCAAAACCACTTAGTTAGTCCTTGCCTTAGTTAATGTAATCAATTACTCCTTATCAAGGTGAAGAAAAAAAAATAAACTGATTTAGTGCTTGAGAGGGCCTAGTGAGGAGACCCCTTCGTTTATGAAATAATGCAAGAAGACGGCAAACTTGGGTGTTTTGTCAGACCATTCGTTGTAGATGCCCTAATTTGAAAGGAGTTCAAAATACTACGCATTTATGATGCGGTGAAGCGTCAGATTAACCGAAATTTTAACTGATTTTAAATTTTACAGGGAGACCACTAAATTATTTTAACTGACATGACTGATAAAATTCGAAGAGGTCTTATTATTTAAAAGAAGTATTTTATTCATATTTTCTAGAGACGTGGGGTGGGGGTGGGAAGCGTTCCGCATCACCTCTTGTAAAAATAAAACAGCAGCACCATGATTTTACACATTCAAACACAAAATCTTTACTAGCTTTAATTTTGCAAACTTAAAAAGTTTTATTAAGATTTTTATGACGAGGAGGCTCAAAATACTTTCGTGAAAGAATTACGTAATGTTACAACTTCTGGCAAATGCGTCTCATTAATTTTAAATGAGAAACTGTTTTTACGTTTTGCAATGACAAAAAAGTGCAAAGCAGCTCGAAAACAACATTGCATTTCTAAACACCCTTTCGGAAAGCCATTAAAATACTGCTTTTTGGTGTACTTGATGATTTATAGTTATTACTAGATTCCCACGACGATAGTTGCCTTAACCCGCGTTTGAGGACTTGAGCGAATTGGTTGTTCGCATCAAGTTACTTTGTTTGAGTTCACAAAGGAGCCTTCTGACAGCGGTTGGAAATTTTACAGAACATCTAGGTGCAGGAAAATGCACCGTTTTATTCATGGATAGATTTGTAAGCAAAGTTATGATGCATGAAGAAATTTGCCCAAAGATGATAATCGGGTCTTGTTTTCTTTGACCAATCAACTTTATTTAATGCTTTACAGTTTTCTTAAATTAAAAGCTTTGGTGATTTTGCATTGTGATAAACTATGGTAGACAGTGCTTTCTTTATTAAAATTTCGTCGAATGTGATTGACAAAAGTAATAGATTGACACTTACCTCGTCGGATTTTGCGATCGGTTCTGGGAGTGAGGAGTGCCTCCAACTGTTTGACAATTTTTGAGTTACTGGAGGAATCATTTGACCAATTCAACCTTCGCATACGGGATTCGAGCTTGCGCTCCAGGCTTTCGTGAGCGTTGAAGGCTTTTCCATCGGGTACTCCTTTTTCTACTGTACCTTGAGTGCAACCTCCCGAAGACTAAAAGGAGAACAAGCAGGCTAGTAAATCGCAACATCGAAATGTGAGTGCATGAGGCTTATACTTATTTCCATAAAAGCAACATAAAACAACTATTGTGTTAATTCTTTGGTGCATGTTACAGGGACGGCGGTCAGTTGGAGTGAGGGCAATTTAAAGATGACAGGTTGAGTGACAATTAGGTCACCTGAGGTCTCTTTAAATAAGTTATCTACTGCTTGTCTGTATTACCGGTTAAGATTAGTGGGTAGCATTTTATTGGCGTAATAAATTCACATAGGAGATAAACAATGGCTGAATATACAACTGCGATTAAGGTCCCAGAGCAGCCATTAAAAATAGATATAAGCATATTTTTATCCTGCCAATTGGAAATTAATTTTGATATTTGAACTAAATTTTGTGAAACAGCTTTTGATAATGACATGCAATAAGAGTTGTTTGCTTCTTTGATGAAGAATGTGCGCATAACTATCCACAAAAGTTGCTCTTCGGTACTCTCCTCGTGGCAATTAATTCAATCTGAAATTCACTAACACTTAATCCAGTGTTAGGCGCAGTCATAACTGTTCCGTTTTTGGACGCCGATCAACCAACTTACCAGCATATGACCATTTGAAGTTAAATCAAGTCTGAAGTTATCTGGATGAGTAGGGAGTACACTGTGTTGCGCAGAACTAGGGTTGCTGAGTCATAGAAAAGCTCTCGCACTTTGATGGCACATTTTAGAAGATAACTATTTTTGAGTGGCTTCAATTATCACGATGCGTTCCTAAAACAATTATCGGAATACATATTCATCCCTTTACTTTACAAACTAGGCGAATGCAATTGAATGTAGCCTAATTTCTCCTAATTTACTGCAATATAAGGCAGAGAAGTGCAATTTATTTTGGTGTCATGGGTAAAGCACCTTCAGCCGTTTAATTGTTAATGCTCCCATGGGACTTTTCGCTTGATGCGCACCCATTCTTGTGCCTGCGAGTAAATTCGATATGGAAATGTACTTGCCAATTATTTTTTCACTTTTTTAGGTTGCAATTTGGTGGTATGCTTCTGTATTTTAGAACAAAATTTCTTTGCATTGCAACCCGGTCTGAATGAAGCTGTGAAACATCACTTTCTAATATTTTCCAAATAATCTCAAAATAGCCTTGTTAAAGAAAACTAGACTTTTAGTTACCATCAGATAGCTATTTGCTGTGCTCATCCACTGTATTCTATGCTAACCAGTGGGGAACGTGGATAATTTTGCTCGTGGAAGATTAAAGCTCAAGATGGGGAAGGAAGGGAGTTTTCATCTTGCCAGCTATTATGGTTTCTATTACGCAAGTTCCTTTAGTTCAGCAGCAAATTACTCAAAGGCACATATTATTGTCTCACCTAAAAGGCTTAAGACATGCACACGCAACACCATTGTACGTTTTGTGCTCAAATGGTCGAATGAGTTGCTGTTGGTGCAGTTGAATAATGCATTTCCCTAGTTTTAGCACTGTAATCACTGCAGTCACTCTCACGCAAGTGTTCGAATAGCTCATCTTAATCCCAAGATATTAGGACTTTCATCACTAGGAGCTTTGGCACACATAACTTGTTGCAGCTAATTAAGTCACTCCAATGACCTTTTTGGCTGCAAAATATTTAGATTTAGGCATTCACTGACCGAAAAAGCGTTAATAAGGTTTATTATCTTAAAACTTTATCTTTAAAGTTTTTCTAATGATTCCTCGTACCAGGGAAGTGCTTAGGACTTCTACCATTAAGGGGGTAATAGTATTCCCAGTATTTTTACTGCAAGATACAGAATCTTTGCCCATCTGAAACCAAATAAACTATTTATTGTGACAACAAGGCTTTCATACGATTTAATTGAAAAGTAAGTAGAGGACTCTGACCTTTCAAACTTCTTCACCACTAGCTTAAAAAGGTTACCGTGAAAGCGGTAAAGCTACGTTGGTAATCCAGCTCCATACTATTTGAGAATAAAAAGAAATTTTACAGCAAATACGACGACAAACACTCAAATTTCTAAAATAGTGGCATCAGTGTATTAAGGTATTTAATAGTCTTGAGTTGGCTTTGCATCGGATATAAATAGAACTTCAAAATAAAATTTGCTCATCCGCTCCAGTGCTTTAATCAAATATTCCAAGGATCCCAAATAACAACCTGATCTCTTTCCGAAATTGATCCGCTTCTTCTTCTTCTTGATGGAGTGCCAAAGTGAGCCGATTTCTCCACGAGATGTGGACTCATAGCGACGTCAGGCGTGGCCTTTGGCCCATCCACCCAGAGCTCGTTTGTGATGGTCCCAGCGTGGGCTTTGTGACCGCTTCGACTCTTGAAACGCCGATGATGAGAGAGCACTGGAGATCTGACTTGCACTGGGTCGCTCTTCTCTTCGGTTTTTTGTGTCGTCTGATGAGGTGTAAAAGGGTAAGTATTTTTAGAACGCCTCCCTGTTAATGGCATCCTATTTTGGTTCAATTAGTTGATCATTTGCCAGAGGCTGATAATGAAATTAATTATGTTGCTCCCAGATGACTTATATTTAGAGTAGAGGACACCTTAGGGACGCCACTTGTCAATGGTAGCCCTAAAGAAGGAGTAAACGGTGTACTAAAGGAAGCCGATCACACCAACTTCCACAATTCATGTTTTGATATTTTCGAGATACTTGTTCATCAAATTATCGTGGCGGTCGAAATGAAAGAGGTCAAACTTCCCTTAGGATTAATCACTATCTACGGTAAATATCAGGGCTATTTTACAGAAATACTGCTTAATTGCGCATTTTCACTAAAAAAACAAATGTTTCGTGTTTTTTAAAATTCCATGTCATAACTATTTAGGAGAAATTCATTGGTTATGTGCATTGAAGATGCTGTTTAATCCATTATAATACGGAATAGCGTCAGTATATACCCAAGGTGGATAAAAGCTTTAATCTTTCTAAGCTAATAATGCGCTTCTCTTGATAAACTCAAATACAGCATCCATGGAAAGTGTCAAAGTGGCATACAGACAACCGTTTTTGAGTGACGGATGAATTCTTCATTGCACTAAGGAATGAGCGGAATTAAAATGTTATGTATGGTGCTATCTGACTAATGGCATTAGAATATACGCAGCTCTATTCATAGCAGTGTTCCATAATGAACACGTACAAGTTCTCTTCTATGACACTTAAAAAGCAGCAAATTGATACCGGTGAGTTGGAGTTGCTAGATAACGTCAAAAACGCAAAGAATTGGTTTTTAGGTCTGACTGTGGATCAAAAATACGTGCATAGTTATGTGGCTTTTGCGCACATTGCTCCGAAACCTGCGCAAATCGACTTTAATGAGGAGCTTTGTCTTGTTCGAACACCATATATGAGAGGAATGAGGCCCTTGACAATATACATATATTCGAATTATTTAAATTAGGCCATATCACAGAGATAGACCTATTTACCCATCTTCCACGACTGATAAATTGATGTGAATGAGTTATGCCTGCTCTCGATCACACTATTATTATGACATCGCATATTTCACAAAGTGTCAAAACGATTCCCATAGAGAGGAACTGGGGCAAAATCACGAGTCATAATCTGGAACCTTTGCGAATAATCCCCTGTCACTTATACTCCAGCTCACCTCTGGCGAATGTGAATCTTTTAGGATATCCAGGAAACGCCAATGAGACAGTTCACGATATTTAGTCATTTAATTTAACCAAGATAATATTTACCAGTGCTAAGCATTATTAATGGATGATAGTTGACAGGAAATGACGTGTACGCATAGCTATTATATCGCTTCTTTTTTTGAAAAATGCCATTTATTTGTGAATGATGGGTGTTTGCGTGAAAATATTCCAGATCGTGCCATTTGTTGTAAGTTTAAGTTCTCGCTGATGTAGGCAGACTCTGTGGAGGCTTTCAAATGCAGGCAAACGTCTGTTTCTTTATGCAGAGGAACTTGGTGATGGAATAGTAGAGCATATTAAGTGGACAAATGTACATTTTAAAGCACAGATCTAAATAAAAGCCGTCTATTGGAAACAATCGCAAATCAGCGTCAAATTTTGTACTAGTCACAATTTTAGCTTAGTAAAATAAAGCGTTCTCTCTTTTAATTGTAAATGGTAATTTAAAATATTCACCACCATATTTCAATCCCTTCTACCGTTTTCATCCCATGAATCTAATGGATGCAAAAAGTACCTCTAAAAGCATGCATATGGTGTACCTCAAGCAAAAATTTCAGAGTCTTACGAACGCATTTGTTCATAACTAAAAGAGTCATAAATCACCAGTGCTTTGAAAGATACCGGCATGCATTTCTTTGGAAGTAACTTCAATACTACTGCAGCAGAGACGAAAATGCAGACCGGCCTGGGTCAAACAATGACAAGTGAGTCGATTAGCCTAGTTCAGTGCATATTTTAGTTCTTGAAAATTACACATATCCTATCCTTAGACAATTGCTAAAAGTCCAGAAAATACATTCAAAGCATGTGTATGCCCAGTTTCCAGAAAAAACAATGTTCCGTTAGTCACTTGACACTAATTACTTATAATCAATTGAAATTTTGAAGAGCGTGAATGTTTATGGGGTTTTAAAAGCTATCAATAAATAGTTCACCCCATTTTTTTGTTGTTTTGCATTCACTGTTCCCCACCTAAAAGGTTTCTTGCGCCATTAATGCTTTTAAGCCTACAACAAATTCATTAAATGTGTGTGGTTTGTTTCAAAGATGATATGATGAATTATGGCAGTTGGTAGAAAATCCAACTTAGTTGAATCATCTGCAAACTATTGACACAAAAGGGTTCATCTTTTCGTTAAAAAAATAAAACTGGATTGTGGAAAGAAAGGAAAAAATGACCCTCTACCCAGCGACACGTACAATAGGAAGTGAAAGTAAATTGCCAACGGCAATGATGGGGTAAAAATTTTAGTCATCTTAGTGGTCTTTATGTTTTCATTAAATTAAACAATGACATCATTATAGACGACACTTATTTGTGGACAAGAATACTAGAACTTAAGTAGAAATTTCACAATAATCTGTCTACCAGTAAATAATACGAGTACATTTCATGGTGGTAAGAAGATCATTCACCTCCTTCTTTTCGACATTTGTCAATCGTTTGGACCGATCTGAGGCATGCAACTTTCTGAGCGGATGCGAGCGGCCCAAGTATATGACAGTGGTACAGGATTGCTCACTGCTTGACGTGTACTCGAGGTCCGAAGCCGAGTCGAGCACATCGTCAGAGCCTTGAGCAAAAGCACCGGCATTCCGACCCAGACGTCGTCTTTGCATCCGCTTTCCAAGACGCCTGAGGCGAATGCTACTGAGATTGGTGTTTTGCGAAGTTGTGGAGGTGGTGACGCGATCGCTGATTGAGGCCTGTCGACGTTGAGAAGGGGAGCGAAGAAGCTTCAAATTCGAACGATGTTTCCAGACATGCTGGATTTTTGAAGTCAGCTGCAGCAGCTGAAAGAATAATTAACAAGTTTTAAGATACGTTTGCCAAAGTCTGCCATCTTTTTGATATTTTGACAGAGGATCACCCCTAAAGTTTTAGTTTCGGTGTGAAGGTAGTATCGCTTTATGGTTTAAATCGTTCGAGGATAGGGAAATGAGCATGTTTAAAAAAATTTAAACCTCTTTATCAGTTTTAATCTTAATCATAACTCAAAAAAGTGTTCTAAAAATTTAATGGCCACATTTTGAGCATTGTGTAGATAGCCCTTGAATAATGAAAAACGTTCAAAGAGAGGTCGACGTTTTCCGTATTCTAATTGCTAATCTCAGTTTGGATTAAACGCATGCACTGTTAACCCGTCTACGCTGCAGCACCCTGCAACTTCTCTGAAAACGAAAGAAGTCACAATACTAAGACGGAAGGGTGCATTGTTGACGTACAGAAGGACTGCGAGGCTACTGGCATAGCCCAAAAGCCACACCTCCAGGTGGAAGTAGGAGGGTCGTGACCTTCAGTGCCCGCATAACCAAAACAAAGAGTTAAACAAACAAGCGATGCTTAAAAAGTGGTTTATACTAAAGTAAATGTGGCACTAATAAGATTGCTACGACCTCGGAATTGGGGAACATTACGTGTTTGATCCGCTCATCCACGCCTAATACTCCTGCTATTCCATAGGTGAGCAAGGCATCAAATCCTGTTAAAAATTACTAGAAAGGGGTGTATGCAAATACGTGAGGATTCGTACACACCTTAAATCGAATAAATACGCTTAAGACAGTTTAAATGATGTAGACACTGGTGCATATGCTTGTCTCCTCTAGTAACTGAAGAAAGATGGAAAACAAACTGCATATGTGATCAATCAGATGCAAGTGGGTCTAGTGTCTTCAGATGATTGTCAAGAAATTCTCCCAAGGTTTACCAGAACATTCCACAGGAGTGCTGGAGTACTTGAGGTTTGAGTTATTACCACTTTAATTTCAAGGAGCTTTTACTGCTCAGCAGCCTCTACATAATATGCGATGACTTTTGTTTAAGAAATATGAAAGTGCTGACGCACAAATTCAAAACAACTTTGCAGAGGATGAAAGGGTGGCTTAAAACTTCTCTAAAGCACCAAACGCAAATTACTACTCCCTTACACGACTATTAAATTAGAACAGAAGAAGGAAAAGCGAACAAGGGAAATTTTACGGTCAAAGCGAATAACATTGAAACCCGGATGCTGCATAAGCTCGGCAAAAGGGGGATAAGTTCAAGCTACTAGTAAATTTTAGCAAGATTACCCTATTTTTCTTAAGGTAAATGACCTAAAGACAGGTTTATTTCTTGGTACAGAAGCGTCAATGTTGAATAATGAAATGAATGTTTGAAGTCCACTTTCAAAGTCCAAACATGCCTAAAATGCAAATTTAATGTCAACTACGAAGGTGATTGTTCATAAGCGCGATTTAAAAGAACTTGCGCGTGCTATTCGACACCACATTTTCCACATTCAATGCTCAAATTACTCAGACACTGTTTCTGATGAGAAAACATTCTGATCATTCAGGTGAAACACTTGAATGTTATGGATTAACGATCGCAGGAAGATTAAAGGTTATGTGAGGGCTACTATTAGATTAATGATTAAGTAACTGCTTACAAACCCTTTTTTTGTTCCCCATAAAAGAACCCAAGGAAATTTACATATTTTTAGGAGTTCCTTCTAACTACCTCTAAATTGATGGCGTAGAAGCTGGGATGGACAGAAGTGTGGAGTACAAGCGAGAGTTTGGCAAGATCATCGGCTAGGAGGCAATCCCGTAGGAGGTGGTGAAGAACCGGCTCCCTCGTTCCGAAGGGAGGCGAGACTCTTCCAGAAACGAGGTTCAGGATGAAGTTGACGGTGGAGGTGTTTTTAGATGCTGGGTCTTCGCTGCAATGACCACCACTTTCCGAAGAGAGCATCAATTCAATCAAGTTAAGCCGACAGTGCTCCATTTTATCTAGAATGTAAAAGTTTATTTTAATCAAACTTTAACATTCTGGAAATTTAAAGCTGAATGTTTGTAAATTCCAAAGGTATTTAGGACGTTTTTCTATTCCAAAGTCAGATTTTACTCAAAAAGTCACTCAAATTGTGTACTTTTATCAGGGGAATCTAATTTCGTTCATTTGAAAATAAATAATAGAATGTATCCACAACATGTAAAAAATTCGAAATTTTTTATATCACATTGGATGAATTTGTGCTCTATTTAAAAATGTGGACACAATAAATCCTTAAATCACATTTAAAAGTCTTGGAAAACATATATTTATTTGTGATTTCAAATAGGCTTCGCCTAGTCTTCGCTTGTATTCAAGAGCTTAGGCAATATTTCATACAAAGAATCATGATGTGAGGTTAATGAAAAGTCTTAAACCCAACCACATAAAGCAAAAAGTGGACCTTGACAAATTTAGTAATTATAACCGGGGAGACTCTAACTAAGCAAACGTCTGCGAAATACAAATCATTTTAATTTCAGCAGAAGCATAAATAAGGGTAACCAACGAAAAAATAGTACACAGCTCAGTTGCTGTAAATCTTTGTTTCCCATTGGACGTAAAATGATATAATCTACAAGATTCGGTCAGCGTGTTTTGACAGTTGGTTTCGTGATTTAATTTAATACCTAAACTTCGTAGATACTCAGAGCGCTTCAGAGCTGAAACCACAAAACAAATTTTATTACCCACTTAACCCCTGTAAAGACCAAGCGTTTGTTCTCAAAATTTTACAAACTCAACAAATTTTGTCAATTTGAGCTCTAATAATACAAGTCTGTTAACATTAGCCCTCATTTGCTAATTCGCTGTTTGGGCAGTAAATTTGGTTTTGTTAAGAATGCTGAAATTTGGTTTAACACTTTCATTCAGGCCTTTGCCTAAGCTCTTTGAAAAGCCAATTCGCGTCTTGTCTCATCACGCCTAGTTTTAGAGGAAAGGATTCAATTTATTCTGAAAACTTGTTTCATTTTGATATTAAGGTACCTTTATCATGCAGTTTAGCGCCCTAAATAGACAGATGCGTTAGCCTATATGCGAATTATGGCTAAACCGTCAAAGTGAGAGGTCATGCGCAAGAAGCTGGGGGACAAAAAAAAGTCATAAATTATAGCACGACACCAAATTTTGGTATAATGCTGAAATCGCCCAGACTTTCGCCAACAGTTTCCTAGATGAAAATCAGCCACCACAGCCTGGATACGTAATCGCTCCGAAATGACAACTAAATGTCATACATTTTGTAGGATGCTTTATATCATTTCGTAAACTGGAATTCAAATTGTCATCTCTGTTATCTATTTGAACTCGACCGATCTGTTTGAAATACGATATGGCTATTTCTTCAAACTGGCAGAGTACGAATGTCACTTATTTGTGACGCAGTTTCAGCTATTATTCCCCACCAAATGATCGTTTCAGTATGTGCTGTCTGTTAGGTGCTAGAAATCCCCACGAATACTTCGTATAGTGATATCTATTTTATAAAATTAAATTGGAAATGGGAACCTGAATACTAGTTAAAAGATCACGAGTAAATTATTCATTGATATTATTTATTTGAGTATTCATTAAATTCGGTAGTTTGTATATCCCAAGACCACGATATTGAAGAGTAATACAGAAATCAGGATTTAGAGAAAAAATTAAGCCGAGTGATTGTCCCTACAGGGCAATGGACTCGTCTTCAGAGGCGTTGAGTGCGTCAACGGCTCTCCAATCTTTCGTCTATTTTTTTCCTTTCTCGTTTTAACAATTTTTCTCCTCGTATTGCCCTGCATTTCGCATTCGTGTTCCAGACGCAAGAACTCCATTAAAGCGATACGATCGACTTCGTCTTTGCAGTGGCGACACTGAATGTGCTTCGCATCCTTTATAAACCGAGGAAATCGTGGTCTTGTTGACAGGTTCTCCGCAAAACCAAAATCGTTAATTGTTTCCTTCTTCATGCTTTTTTGGTATCTACGCGAACACCGAGCAGTAGGTGTCGGGATATCCGAGACGTACAAATCTGATGGCGAGCTTACATCAACTGAGATTTGTTCCATCCTCCTGATGCTTTTTTCTATAGTTAGGTCGATTCCACACCTTCTACAGGGTGGCATCTGAATTTCTACGCACTTGTCGTGCACAATTCCACTCCCTTGTGGTTTGACAACTGCTCCAAAGTGGAAATGTCTTAAGTGAAAGTGGGAACAAAAGGAATTTTGAAGTTTTGATATCCTTGAACCCATTGAAATCGACTGCGATTCGGTTTGACATGTGGTAATTTGAAATTTTGATTATGTATTGATTAACGAGAAGGTGACCTTGCTAACGAGATATGATTCGTTCACAAGAAGACGATCTTGGAAGCAATCAATAATTCAAGATTCATGACAGGTCGTGGGCATTCAATTACACGCGTCTGGCATGACCACGTAGGGCGCCTTGATAAAGAAACTTAATTCATCAATTCAGGAACCAGTTAACTTGTCATCGAGTAGTGACTACACGGACGGTGTGACAAGGTAACTTCCACATTCCATGGCCTTCAAGAGAGAAGGAGGCAGAGGATGTCGCACTGACAATTCAAATGGAATTTATTTGACGCCATCACTGCTTGTGTATACCTACGTCTGATTCAGCGTTTTTTTTGCTTCATAGTGTCGGCAAATTTTTTGTTGCACCCACCATGATGACGCTTCAATTAGCAAGTCTTTGAAAACCCAGCGCTCCAACTTACTCATCTATCCAGTCGGCACCAGAATGCATTTGGAAAAATGACGGAGTTTTACTCCACTTTTATTGCAAAATAGCATAAAAATCCGCATAAAATTTAGCATTAAAAAGTATTTTAAATTACTGTCGATTTCTGAACAACGTTTCAGCTACCCATGATTGTGCACCAGAAAGTGTAAAAATGGGCTTCCAATTTCAACGTCCAATTGTTAGAATTTGCATTCTAATTCTAAATGGCATATGTTCGCAGTTAAACTTCAGGTCTCGTAATTTAACCTAAAAACGATTTATGAAAGCTCTCTTCTACTGGTTGGATAAAAATTACTCAATTGATAGACCTGCAAGTCATGGATTCCGAAAGAACGCAGCAAATTGCAACCATTAGTGAAAGGGATTAGCTTTTTGAGTTAAAAGACGACGAATAGTAAAAGTAAAATCGTCAAACATCGTAGTATAATTAAAGCAAACTTTGACGACTCAGATTAGCCCTCCATCGTTAACAGGGTAAGTGGTTTGGTGGAGCGTTAAATAATAAAAATGTTCAAACAGTAAAAGCTATGGCATTGAGCGTGGAAAATATAGAAAATATGAAAATGATTGGTTGCCAATAAAGTCCAGCTTTTGTTTTAGATGAAGTCACAAGGCGTTAAAGAGAGAAACCAATGCTGCCAACAAGTTGGACCAGATAAGAAATTTTCACTTATAAAAGAGAGCGTTTTTCAAAATTAAATAAATTGGAAATATTTAACCTTTATTCCAAAATATGTCACAATACCCTACAGTAAATTGATTGCGCATTTATAATCCAAAAGTTGCTAAATGAGTAGTCAGTGAAATTGGAGGAAAGTATTACAATTAAAAGATAACTTTTGTGCAATAAAATTTGGAGAATGTTGAATTTTGACCTACTGGGGGTGGTGACCGTTCCACTCGAATGATTTCGGTAGACGTTTAGAGTGAAGAAGAGGTGGCCGGGAGTCGTGGTGGTGGTTGCTGACTCGTGGAGGCGCCTACTTGCACCAAGGGCCACGTCCAGGTAGTGTGCCGCGTCGACCATCGTGGCGGCTACGAGTTCCGTCGTGTCGTCCTCCACATGCGGCGAAAAAGGTCTCTTCCAGGCGAATATTCCCGATTTCAGCTCCTCTAACCTTCTCCCGTCTGAATCGGAAGCTGTGGGATGAGAGACGCACATTCAGTGGATGATGGCGTTAATTAACAATCCATTTGGGCATTTTATTTCCTTAACGCGTGTTCATAAAGCGGTCTTTTTGACCTCTTTCATGCTAAGTTAGATGGCCAGTATTTTTGGTTATGATATTTTGAATTAACATTTCAGTGCCACAGCAATCGAGCATGTTATGTCCTTGTGATAGTTACTTCTTACAATAAGACGCCAAAGGAATGTCAGCAAAAGCTTTTTAAAGAAATGAGAGAGTAAACAGACTTTAAGACGACTTTTTAAATAGTTACATTTACTATGCTCAATTTAAAATAGCCAATACAATCCATGTGGGGAGAAAAGTTGAATAGGAAATGAAGAAAGCAACGATTTAGCTTAAATAATTGGCGTACGTTGATGAAGAGAGGTGAGTCTTTTGCCCATTTTAGTGCGCTTTATTTCTTTTGATGACATTTCATGGTCTACATCAAGTTTTTACCTTCGTAAAGTTAATTTAATTAGGCTGATGGCTTAACTTAGTAACTTTATGTTTTGCAGTCCTTCGCTGAGGTATCAAAGGTTTTTTAGGCATGGAATATGCTTGCAGGAGTACGAGAAATCGCATACAAAGTAAACTATTTGACTAATTAATATCCTGTCGGCTCAGTAATGCCGATTGGGCTTCCAGCATAAAAAGATTTATTTTAATCGCACAGGAGGCCTCAGCCGGAGGAAATGGCGGACCACCCAACTCGAGTTTCACTTTAAATGAGTTAAGAACAGGGAGAAATTCATCCTTTCTTTGGACCATCGAGTCGGGTTGCTATAAAACGCGGCAATAATGCTTTAGGCCAATGATGGATTCTGTCAGCTGTTACCACTCGCTCTCCCCCTTACTCCGGAACGCAGCGATTTGTAAGAAGGCTAAGATGAAAGGCGCAGTTTTGCAAAACACTTTGTGATTAAATGCACCAGAATTAATGCTTTCGGCGAGACCTGATGAGCCGTAAGTACTTAACCTTTTGGAACTGTGTAAAGGTTTGTTCACTTGGGGTTTCGACCCTACACTACCTACTTCTGTTAAATTAGTCTTATTACTTAGCCTAAGGCGAATTGTTTCGCGCTTTAGCATAAACAGGCGGAAGGGTAAAATTCCCTTTATTATGATTGCCAAAGATTCCTAATCAATCCAAGCCTTTGAAAGCTGTGAGAGTGGATTCCTTCTTTATATCATTTTAGGTACTTACATAAATTTCAAAATGCGTAAAGGGGAATCATTTATGGAATAAATTGTTTAAAAAACTATTTAATCCAAAACCATTGTATAAAAAGCCTTTTCTTGAATGTCTTGCTGCCGGAAAATCATCTTTTCAAGCTAGGTAGTTAAATTATACCATCGTGGTAGGTTTTCATTTCTTTTATGCTGAAGGGGTTAGAATACTTTGCACTACCAAGGTGAGAGAACTGAAGAATTGGCTTTTCTAAATGCAGTATGTCTCGTATCTAATTTCTGATGCTTTTTTTCTGATTTATAAAGTAGTACCTGAGGAAACCTGACCTTCCAAGTTCATTAAAGAGACAGCGTTTTCCACTTCTTGTCGCATAAGAAAAAAATTGGCAGAAATATCTTGTTAGTTAGCAATGAAAAGACTACTTGAATATTTTGCGAAATAGATGAATGAGTGATAGGATGGACAAGGTGGATTAGTTAAAAATAAGACATTTCAAGCATTCGCCTGTTTAAGAAAAAATGATTACGAAATTCTACGTAAAACTTCATATAATTCACACCATACATACCAGTTACCTAGAGTCGAGAGAGGGAGGAAATTTACAAAGTTTGCAAAATGATCGCTTCTTGTCAACTTATTTTCAAAGGCTTTCCCTTATAGCAATAAAAAGGCATTGTTTGTGGTCAGCAACAGGCTCCATGTTTACTTTCTAACCGATCTCCGTCTCCCATTGGAAGAGGAAGGGCGCTAATGGTGAGTTTGACTTGTAGCAAGCGTGCTTAAAGTGTAAGCACTCAGGAGCAAGCGTGACCTTTTTAAGTACTTTTGAATCCGCTTGACTTGATAAATTTCCCGGGGGAGAGACAGAAAGTACAGATTGTGGTCTTTACAGAGACGAAAATGGTATGAAGTAAGGTTAACGCTTTAGATGAAGCACACGTTAGCGAAACCTGCCGTAGGGTCCAGCATCAACGGCGGAGCCTAAAGGCACATTCAATGATATGCGAAAGTCTATGTAAAATAAACCAACCCTAGTGTTGGATACCTTATCAGTGCAGAGATTCCGTAGGGATATCAATATGCTTTCAGGGACTGAGAGTTCAAGATGAGGTAAAACTGTCCCGTAGGATTATTTAATGCACACCAAGCCACTCAAATTGTAGCCCATCTAATAAATTATATTAATCCTTCTTCTTTCATTTAAATTACCTTTTCTCTTTCCTGATGAACGATATTGCTTATAAAATCCTTTTTAAGGGATAATTGAGTAGGAATCCTAAAAACGTGGGGGTCGCGCCAGCAATAATGAGAATTTCTTTCCAGCGCCGTAAGTATGGGCAGTCAGAGAACTCTATAAATTCTAGAACAAAACTGTTGTTTGATTGTAGGAAAAAAGGTACAATTTGTGTGACTTTAAAAGGCAGGAGAAGGAACTTTACACAATTCTTATACCCTCGTAGCCTTAACAACTCTTTAATAGACCCGGTATCAACACACCACCCAGAGTCATTATTTGCTTGTCGGAAGGGAGGTAAAAAAGCAACAGTAGCAACAATGGGATGAAACGGACATGGAGCGCTGGTGTGTAATCCCCTGTTACCGTAAGCTTCTCTCCACCTACCGCTTGTCTACAGAAAACGTGATGTGGACATACATCACTTGACACGCGATAAACCATTACCATTAATCCGAAAAGTGGAGGAACATTAACAAACTATGTCATTAACACAAAACATGGTGATCAGATTTAGTACAATAATTAAACGAATGCTTTTCCACCACCCCTTCATACTTTAACTCACAGCGATACTGTAGACAGTCTAGGCGCAGAAAACTCGAATCGGTGTATGAGTTGCATAACCAAACATCATTTATTACAACGCCTAACCATTATTATCAAATGAAAGGTAAATCATGCTTAAAGATTTGCTGTTTATATCACACAGTAGATCCTACATGTTTCGTGCAGAAAACACAGACGGTATCTTCGTATCCCGCTTCATCCGATGGCTGTTTAGTCATCAAGGGCTAAGACCAAATCAAAGCACACAATCTTCGCATTGTTTTGCATAGAAAGCATACCTTGTTATTTTAAGTAATTCGCAGCATCTCATTGAGTCTTTGTTGGGGTGAAACCACTGCTTGACGTATATCAGATTGCTAGCGAAAACGTTATTACCACAAAGGTAGGATATAAAGGAGTCATTTAGCCCACAGAGACTACATATTAGTGCGGATTTTATATACATCGTTCCAATTGACATATTCTCTACTCATGCAAAAAAATGCGATAAATTTTACAAACGCAGTCTTTCACCTTCCCTCCAATTAGACTGTAAGGATAGTCTACTAAACGGCTGCAGGGGTCTTAGATATCGGTCTATCACACTATTCAAACGAACATTCACTTTAAGGGAGGCCATTTTAGTCAACAACTTTGAGCATATTTTATTTTACAGTACGAATTGAAGAACTAAAATTCTGCACGAATAAATTGTGATGAAGCATAATATTAGCGATCAGGAAATTGTTTAGCGACTTATTTCTTAGAATTACCGACCAAATATACTTTTCCAAGGTGACAATTGGTTTTTTTGTTGATGTCTAGAATCAACGAAACTGTAAAAGCTTTTGACTTTAAGGCAAAAGCCCAAGTATCTTTTTACTGGGTCCCCGAATGACTGGGAGGAACCGAAGTAAACATGTGGTGTGCAGTAAACAAATCAATCTTAGTTAATATACTAAAAGATAACTTAAAAACAGTCATGCCTGATCTTGTTCCGTGATAAATTACCAAAAATTTTGCTTAAATGACATTCAAAAAATTTCCCTGGCAAGCTAACGCACACGTTGGCGTGGTAACAAGGTACAGATGCACAAGTTCAGCCAAGATAAATGCATTTAAAGACTATCACAACAGTAGTTTCAGGAATTGAATATGCTAAGGTTGGTGAAAAAATAAATTAATTTTTCTTAAAATTGACGTATAGTGTTTGTTGCCATCATCAACACCAGCACAACAGATTTTACGTGGAAAATCTCTGAGGTAAGCGATTCTTACCTGTTCCTGGAATAACTATTTAATATGTCATGGGTTGCAATTATTTTTATGGATGCAATTGGTAGCCAAAACCTCCTAAAGTTGAAACCAGGTAAACTCCATATATTACGGATTCTTCCTAAACCGTTACAGTTTGACTGTTATAAAAGTGGCATTGAAGTTGTTCTGGAAGGCTTTTATGCTGACGGGGGTTCTATAGCGTTGCGGTGACTGCATAGCTGCAAAATGATAGCATGAAACAAGAGGTTTGGGCCTTGTTATACGCAAGAACTTATCATTGCTATCATAGTAATATTAGTGTTTATTAAGTCAATGTGTTCGTGTTTCAAGGGAAATAATTATTCTAGAGCTGCAAGACCAAGTCAAGATCTAGCGGAAAGGTGACCCTTGTGCAGGCTTGCTAACCTGAGAAAGAGTTCAATGTCGACGACAAAGGATTGTTAATCAAACTTTGAAACATACGAGATGAGGCTATAGACTCTATTTTTGTCCTCGTTTGGCGTCTTCTACCGGCACTTAACGGGAATTCGAATGCTGTTTGCAATCTCCCTAAGCAAATAAGCACCCTTTGCATTTACCGACCTCCTTCAGAAATAATAATTTTTTTCTTTCCGCTTCGGCGCGTTAGAAGTTATAAATTTTTCACGCGTAACCAAATCAACCCTTGACTAAAATTTGTGAGTTTAGCAGCAAATGTGCGAAGGAAATCGCGGAAGGCCTTGTTTAAGGTGAGATGATACGGAGACTTCACACCAAAGACGACTGTCTGCTGGCGAAGCTTAATGCCGTCATATAATCTATGAAATTCTTTTAAAATCAACTTCTACATCAAGTATTTAGGTTATTCTTTTAATTTAATCATATTTAGCAGGACAATATCCTGTTTTAGAATGTGCACTCCCTACTTTTTAAACACCAGCAAGCTCACCCGTCCACAATCCTCCCTACTGAACAAACACAAATGATGTTTTTCAACAAGCCCTTCACCTGCTCAGCTCCCTTGTATGGTTTATGTGGGCGTGGGGAAAATTAATCGTCATTAATCCTATTAACAAGCACGCCTATCGAACTTCGCCCATTTTGCTCTTCTGCGCACGCTTCTGCATACAGAAGACGTATTGTAATGAAGGTGAGGGGGAGTACTTGCAGACTTGGGTCGTGGGAGCTCTACATTTTGGCCCAATTAGTGACTGTGGGGATGTGGGCTGCCACCGTGTAGTGTGTGTGTGTGCATGGAGTTACGTGCCTGCTTTGGGCGAGTCCGGGCCCCACTCTCACGTCCCATAGTCCAGGTTATGTAAATTATTACTCCATTTAAGTATAAGCATTATTTTGTTTAAGTAGAAGCGAACCCTGAGGGACTCACTCTACCGGTATAATAAAATATTTGGCTTAAAATAAAGCCCCGATTTCTACGTTGATAAGTTAAAACTTTCCATCATTCCATGCCACTCGTCATTGCATCTTAGTCTTCGGCAAATTTATCCAAAGGATTCCTTGCTTGTAAATTAGATGCTTTACTATTTTCTGTGACAAAGAGTGAGGCAAATGATTCTCAACATTTAGCTTGGTACGGTTTACTCAAATGCATCGCAAAGTGCGGTGAATGCGTTGTGGCTACCCAAACCCGCATGAGCATCGAGCTGGAACAGTCGTAAATGCGTGCAATTTCCATCGTGCACTCGTGTGTCCACACCAGCGGCATCCCTACGGTCAACCACTAATCAAAACAAGCACACTGCAAGGGTGTAAGACTTTGCAAGTTAAAATCCACACTAGGTGGGCATGTGAGAATGTAAATTAGATAAAAGTTTCAAGTGCAAAAAAGTCATTGATGTGTGAATTGCCAGACTAGTCTTCAATCAACTTTACAATAGAGCATGAAATCTTGAAAAATGGCAATCTCTTGTCAAATGTCGGGAGAGAATTGTCATGAGAAAGACAGCATTTGGCATTAAGTAAAAAGGTTGACACATGGAATTTGTCATGATTATTAATCTGCAATATAATAATCCAAAAGGGCTATTACAGTTAGGAGAATTTCTATTTATGCATAGACGAGAGTCCGTTAGGGGAATATTTCCGTGTTGAGACACAACTTTGAGTTTTAAAGGAGGTTAACTTTGGCACAAAATAACTTCTTTTATCCAGATATTCAGCAGCTTACGCGTATTGGCACATTCAAATAGCTCTAATCGCAATTTTTTTTCCTTTTTACGAATCAATCATTCAAAACTTTGGAATATAATACAGCCCTAAGATGGGCTTGTTAATTTGAAAGCGAAATCAGAGTTAAAAAGGCAGGGCTTACAATTTTTCGATTCAGAAAGTAGATCGCTACTCTTGCTACCTCCAATGCAGACCTCTGCAGCGGATACCGTGAGGTAGAAAGGTGTTGGGCACTGATCTTTGAGAGCATTAAACAACCACTGAATGGCTGTGGGGATGAGACCAAAATGGGCTGTGGTAGCATCATTCCCAACGAATCGTGAGACATCCCCTAGAGGGAATAAAATTTCACTTTGTTAAAATAATTTGCCGCCTTTTTAGTTAAATAGTTTTTTTTCAGATATCATTAGCAATTCCATTTCGTCCTTACTGTGAACGCAGGTGCAGGCTCTCTCTTTCAATGCTCAACAAATTTGGTGCATAATTCTCTTGAATTTTTGAGAAAATTTTATAGACACAGGGGATTTGGCCACTAAATCTAAGAAATTACGAGCTCCAAGACAACAAGTTTGCTTAATATGTGCAAACTTTAGAAGTGAGGAGCAGACTTTGTTTGGGAAAAATGAAACCACTTCAGTGTGCTTAAAACTTGCAAACTTCACGCCATCGTAGTTTGTCAAAATTTAACGGAATATGCGGCGATGTAACACAGTTGCACTGGAAGAGAATATAATCCATACATCTCTATGATGAAAAGGTCTTCACGCAGTATCTAATTAGATTGCCATTGACGGTATGGCAAATTGAATGTATTTAGCCACCCAAATTGTGACACAATGCAAAGTAGAGGATACTATAAACCCAGGCGACTTCCTGTCCAACCGTTAACACCGTTGTACTTTTAACCTTTTGTTTAGAATGCGCAAGTCTTAATTTAACTACTTATTTAATTACTGACCCAAAATTCTCCAGTAAACGATACCAGTTTCACGACTGCACTGATTCCCATAAGGCACTAGTTCAGCTAGGCAAATTTTAAACCATTCAATGCATCTTGCATAAAATTTGATGCATGTCCAGCGGACATATATGTTCTCGTAGCTGGACGGCTACGCGTCTTAATGATAGCCGATGGGACGGCGTCCCATTTTTGTCCAGAATGACTTAGAGCGTTTCTATAGGATGGGACCAGCATAATTATTATGTAGATTTAAATCTGAAAAAAAGAGCTTTTAAAACCAGAGCATAGTCAAGAATGTCCCTTCCCTTGTTGTGCTTTCTCCTTATTATAACGTACAAAAGAAGCTATTTCTAGCTCTAACCTCTACTACCTTTGTGAATTTTAATCCCGAAATTCCTAAACAGAAAAACTTATTTTAAAGAAAAAACTTTTGATAAATATATGTAGAATGTAATAAAATGAAAACCAAGCAGGTTCCATAATTTGTTGTATTTCGAAGTTATTTAAGTTTGTAGTTTAAATCGCAAAGACCTCAAAAGCAGCACAGTACAGAGGTGGTAAATTTAAAAATTGCCAAGTCGCAAATGCGTTTCGCAGATGAATAAGCTATTCTTACCATTTTCACTTTATAAAGGATCTTGACAAACAATTTTTGCATATTCCATTGATGTCCTTGAAATTTTTTTTACACGAGGCCACTTGAACTACTTGACCTTTCTACTACCTATTACTGAGTTGCTCTATAGAAATGAGACCAGTTTTGTGACACAGAAGACGGGTGTCCAGCTGAACCAAATAACTAATTTCATCTTTACATCATCTTAGTCATTAACGTTCGCATAAACCGATAAATGTAGCCATTCCTGAGAGCATTTGACTAGGATTAAACTTTGAGACCCGAACAAAGGTTTTACGATTTCAGGTGGTGTTGACATCAAATACGACACTGATTTGCGTGCAGCGACGGCATAGTAGTGAGAACAGTTGGAACAGGAGGTTGATGTCTTTCCGGAAAAATCTTTTAAGTGGTTGTTTTATCCGACCGAAGGTGACTAAACTGTGCAGCCTAACTTAGAATTTAGTAGGAGATGCTACCTCCTTTACTAGATCAAAACTAATGATAAACTAATCATCCTTTCCTAAAACAAGACATTCAAACCACTTGTTGGACTTACGAATGCTTTTGCTTACGAAAGCTAGAAACGACCTACCCTTTGCCCATTGCTATCTAAAAATGGTCACCTAAATCTTCAGCACAATTTCTAGAATATTCTCTTATATCCATTATATAAATGACAAGTTGTAGGTATGTCCGCCTTTTGCAGCTATTCTAGAATCAAGAATAAATGAGGACCAAGCAATGTTTTAGCAGATCTGTTACTCTATACTTAGAGCGAAACATCACTGTTCCATTGAGTCTCAGTTCACAGCACTTTAATCATACCACCAAGTTCACATCATTTAAATGACCGTCAAAGCGGGCATAAATTTACTGTTTTCATTTAAAATTCGAATTTGTATTTGATCAAAGAATTTCACGAGAAATTTAATGAATCGGCTATGTGGCACCTCAAAATCCCACTGAGCGTCCGTCAGAAATGCACTCATGCAAATTCCACTGGGATGGGAAACAAATTTTGCCCTTTTCATAAACTCCCGCTCTCTCAAACCCTTTTGTGGAATTCTCAACGGTTTCTAAAGTAAAATGTGCGTAAAGTTTGACCTCATAAGACTTTCCCTTGATAACTCTCCATAAAAGTCTAACCACAACTAGATAAGCAGCGGTTTCCACATCGTCTTTATGCTCTTAGCTGCAGATAAGAGATATTTTTCAAGTACAACACGGTTTACTGCTCTGCAAAGGAAACTAGTTTTTAATTAACTGACTTAGAACTCCAATACTAAAGCCTAGCTTAAACACACCCTTCTGTTAATTCCTTCAATGAGTAGCAACCTCAGGGAGTAGTACTGCTTTCTTACGCACTAAAGGGTATCGAGGCATCTTGCTAGATCCTCAGTATTTAATAAGTTGAATGGTAAGAAAATGATTTAGTATTTCGTCTGGTTTCATTTTACTTCTCTGGTAAGCTTACATCCACACCCGATAATATCTCAAATGGCACCGTCGTTTCTTTCAAAAAATATGGAAAAGTTTGATTTCGTCACGCGGTTAAAGTGTAACATTTTACTCTGTACTGATTCACCAGTAATTCTAATAGAGAAATTCTTTGCGGTTATTCGGGATTGCGGTCAAAGACGATTGCATTTACTTTGGCCATGGTGGCCAGCGTTTTATGTGACCTTAAAATTTATCCCTGAGCTAAAGTTTTTTCACTTGGCTGCCATCTAGGCTGTTTGAGTACTAGTGGCATAAACTTTGGATTTTAGCTAAAGATTATTTTAGTGACACCGAAATTGCGTGAACTAACAGTGGTTGAATGACCAACAGGGAAAAAATACGCAAATTAGTAGGACAGTATGGGCCCTCTCACAAGGTTGAAACATAACTTTCCGTGCTCGAATGAGTCACTTAACTACTTAAAATTACGATTGAAAGGAAAATCTTCTCAAGAAACACTTCAGCTTTTCAAATATTAAGTTACTTTTCGGTCTGATGAAAGTGACCATTTACAAATGGCAACTCACTTTTACCGACGGGGTTCAAATAGATCACGCATCCATCACTGCCATTTACAACGACAGAAATTTGATCGCTCAAGACCGCGGTGCAAAAATCCTTCTAAAATTAAACGTTGACCTCTATTGTACAAAAGTGGATAATGAGTTAATTAGGGTCAAATTCCTTTAGCACCCTGTCTCACTTACCCCACTTAAGGGAGTTGCTTGTTACCTTGGCAACAAGCATTATATCCTTCAGTGTTTAGGTACCAGTGCTTACATAAAATCTATTGAAAATGCATAAAGCTACTAGTTTCGGGTTTTTTCTGACTATTTTTTTGAACTGACAATGTTTGGGGTCCCTTCAAAAAGTGGAGGTTGTACATAACAAATTTGCATTCAAAGAAGTGGTTGTTAGGTGAGAAAACCTCGTTAGTACATGTGTGGGAGATTTTAGTGCAGTTACCTCAAATGCGTTGCCTTTTTTTAAAAGGGGAAAATAATTTGCCAAACCTTCTGAATAAAATCAGAGATAGAATGTAGTTTAATTAAACCATAAAATTAAAATACCTAGTCAAGTGGAAATGCTCAAGCTGTAGGCATTCTGCACTTAATTTAATCTAAATTTTAAATAAAACCGTATCCTGACTGTTAAAATAATTAAAAACTGGGGTTGAATTGGTTAAAAGGGGATTGAGTACCATGGAGTCCTGGTCAGAAAATGCTCCATCCGATGGGAAGTTTTTCGGTGCGTTGGAAATGCCCCCAACTGCAGGTGATGCATCTGCGGCGGGACGGATGAGTCGAACTTGTTTTTCCGCTTCATCGGTGGTCAGGGATGGTTGGTCAATCGGCTTCCCGCAGGAATCTCTCGTCTCATATACAAGCACCAATTTAGCCTTAATAAAAGTTTTATGTCTCATTAAAATATTTACAAGCATTATACCAGAATGACCGACATCTGGAGAGCCGATAAAATAGAACAGTGTACTCCGATTGTTCCTCCATTCTTTTATTGAGTTATAAAGTTCATTTTAAAATGCAGACATCTACATAAGGTGTTATTGTCATACTTCGAACGTAGAAAATCAAGAAATCTACCCTTAAAGCAGTCCTAGTGATATTTGTACATTGCCCAAAGGTGACACTGCAGATGTTTTTTTAGTCAACGGAGCATGAATACTTACTTACGAAGTGATGAAGATAGACGATGATGCTCTCAATATTGGCATCAAATCATAGTTCATCATGCAGAAAATTATTTCACCTTTCACCTTAATTGTTTGATTTACGGATTATAAGCTTCTTCAATAGTTTTTGGTTAATGCAAAGCAGTGTGAACTTTTGAAACCAGTGTCTCTAAAGGTTGTGAATGAAGAGTCAAAGGAAACATCAGAAAACTGAAACAAATGCCAACTTTTAAGAAATTGCGATGTTGTCTTAATCAGCTTTTGGTCAAGTTCCTTAGATGGTGTACAGGGACCAAAACAACAAAATCAGACATTTTAAGGCAGAGCTTGAAAGTTTTGTTTTTATTAAGAATCAGAATCGAAACGCGAATAAACTACTTTACTTACAAATAGATGGACTCAATAATGGTTTGCACAAATCTTAGAGCCTTGCAGCAAAAATTAAAAAAAATTTGGGCAGTATTAAAAAATCTAGCAAAAATAAAATTTTACGACCCGTTGCCATTGGTAATATCAAAAGAGAAGGAATCCCTTGGTATTGCCGACTGCCCTTCACTGAAATGATAGCAATACTTTCGGCGTCGTGCCGTCTGGATACCGCGCTTTTAACACTTTGCAATAGCAAACAAATTTTAATCGTGTCGTTGGTTTTGGCGATTTGTCGCGTGCTCTCTTTTAACCACCTCGACAGTAAAGTGCATTTGTCAAATTAAGGACGCACTGTTCGAGATCTCCAACACTCAAAGCTGAAGGCATCAGAAAAATCATTTGAGCTAAGCCTAAATAGAAGTAAATAATTGGAACTCACGTTGCTGGCTCTCCTCAAATCATTTTATTCGGTCAAGGGATGATTTGTTTAAGAGTTATCCTTCAACTGCTATGCAAAACAGTTGAATATTAATTTTTAATTGTATTTGCACTACACCTAAACCTAATACCAGCGGCGTTTTAAGACACCCAACGCCTACCTCATAAGAATGCAGAAGGAATCTCCATTTACTTTTTGGCGCAAAATGCTGAGTGACTGTAGAATAATTAGAAGATCGAACCCTTTTTCCAAATGTTTTGTTGCTATGAGAGCTTTTAGTTTAGTTGCTGCACTTTTAAAAATTCTTTTTTACTTGTTTCCTTCGGTAACCCCACTTGCATTGTTCATTGCTTTCACTGACTTGAGCGTTAGCGAGTTCTCACCTTGGAGTGATGGGAAGACTGGGGTGATTTTCGGTTTGTCTGCGGTAGAGGGATTGGTGGAGAGAGGAGAATGGTTTGAGAGAAGTTTGTCGGAAGGTTTCGGCGCGGTAGGGGTTGGAAGCTGTCCTTTTCCTGGGGTAGGTCATCAGTTTGAACGCTCTGCTGTTTACGGCTGCAAATATTGAAATTGTAATAAGAATGCATTCACGACAAATGAGAATACATTCACCACTTTCTTGATATCTTTGATATAACCTTGCTTAAAAAAACTTCAAACTTTTGAGCTGTGCTGCTTTTCAAATAAAAATTCATTCCTAGCGATTAAACACTGCCTAATTGTTGTGAGATTGCAGTGATAGGAAATAATTTAACCCTAAACAATGGAAGTGTGTCAATATTTGCATCCAAATTCTTCTAAAGATTTGGAAATTAAACTATCTGCTATCACTTCGAAGCCGCCTAAATTCTCATAAAGGTTTGAGATGACACATGCAGTATCTTCTCCCTGTTTTTCGTTTATGTGCATTGTAAATAAAAACCCTAAATTTTTTGCTTTTGTTCCCCTCATTAATTAAGAAATGTGCCATCATTTAGGATCGAGGCTTTAAAATGTAATGGAATTCGGAAGTTACGAGTGCTGAAACTTTCATCGTCTCCTTAAACTGCTACAATACTAAAATCTTTCACGTTTGGCAGGCAAAGACCAAAATGATTTCGGCTTTTAATTCTCACAACCTGACAGCCACTTTTTCATCTTTATTTTTGAATGAATAATGAATGCGACAGAAATACCGCCAGCGTGAAGTTGTCAACAAAACAGCTCACTTATTCAAAAGGTTTAGAAACCTCTGCTGCAGTATAAAATCAGCCTTATCACAGAACCTTTTATGGATGCTGCAGTTTTGCGATCGTCAGATAAATTTTCATAGTTATAGCTTAAGTGGGAAAAATAGGCAAATCCCATAATACCGAGAAATGTTTACAATTTGACTTTAGTTAAAATCCCAGGAAGAAAATTATTTTCATCAGAATTCCAATGGTATGTTGATCTTGATGTGAATGCTGGCCGTAATATAATCACAGAAGTGATCCGGTCCTATCAGAGAGTTTTTGCTTTTGAACGTGTGACAACTCCAGGCCTACCGCGAGACAGGTTGAAGTGAGTGGCTAAATCGTAAAAAGCACCAATTTCTGGTTGTAAGTGTTGAGTAAATAAAAGTTAGTAATGAAGTGTCTCCCGTGCCAAATGAAATTCCTTTGGATGCTCCTTCATGTAGTAGGATTCCGATTACGAATGGATAAAAAATTAAAAGTGTCTGCCACATTTTTTCGAATAACTTTATCTTTCAAACCCAATGACGGCACTAAAGAGTAACAGGCTTCAGGCTAACATTATTTACAATCAACAGAGAAATATGTAACTATATGAATAGTCACGTACCTCTTTAAAATGCTGCTTTTCGCCATTTTTTTGTTCTAGGTAATTGAAAACTGACACAAAAGGAAATGTGTTGAATTAGAAGAAGGAAACATTGCGACAGTATACCTGAAATGGAAAAAAACAGGGCATTAAAGTGTTTGGAAACTAGTGTTAGCTTAGAGAACGAGGTTTTAGCATTTTCTTCTT